CAATTACTAAAACCAAAGATAAAGAAATTGAAGGTTTTTACCAACTTCTGCAGTGTGAAATTGACCAAACATGCAATCATGATATATTGATAATTATAGGTGACTGGAATGCAAAAGTTGAATACAAAGAAGAAGCATCTTCAGTTAAAAATACATCCTTGGTGATAGAAAAGATGATGGAGACCACATGACAGAATTTTGCAAGACCAATGACTTATTAATTGCAAATACCTTTTTTCAACAACATAAACCTTTTTTCAAGGTCCTTCCACATGGAGTTTGCCAGATGGAGTACACAGAAATCAAACCGACTACATCTGTGAAAAGAGACAATGGAAAAGCTCAACATTATCAATCAGAAGAAGGCCAGGGGCCAACTGTGAATCAGATCAATTGCTCATATGTAAGTTTAAGCTGAAATTGTAGAAAATTAAGACAAGTCCTCAAGAGCCAAAATATGACCTTTAGAATATCCCACCTGAATTTAGAGACAATTTGGAGAAGAGATCTGACACACTGATGCCAATGACCAAGGACCAGATAAATTGTGGGATGACATCAAAAACATCATACACGCAGAAAGCTAAAGATCAAGAAAAAGACAGGAAAGGAAACCAAACCAAAATGGATCAGAAGAGACCGAAACTTGCTCTTGAAAGGCGAATAGCCAAAGTGAATGGAAGAAATGATGAAGTAAAAGAGTTGAACAAAGGTTTCAATGGGCAGATCAAGAGAACAAAGTAAAGTATTATAATGAAATGTGCAAAGACCTGGCATTAGAAAATCAGAGGGGAAGAACACACTTGGCACTTCTCAAGCTGAAAGATCAAAGAAAAAATTCAAGCCTCGAGTTGCAATATTGAAGGATTCTATGGGCAAAATATTGAGTGATGCAGGAAGCATCAAAAGAAGATGGAAGGAATACACAGAGTCATTGTACCAAAAAGAATTGGTCAATATTCAACCATTTCAGGAGACATAATAGTCAAGAACTGACAGTATTGAAGGTAAAAGTTCAAGCTGCACTGAAATACAACACTCCAGGAATTAACAGAAAACCCACTGAGATGTTTCAACAGACATATGCAGCACTGGAGGTGCTCACTTGTATATGCCAAGAAATTTGGAAGACACCTACCTGGCCAACTGACTGGAAGAGATCCATATTTGTGCCCATTGCAAAGAGAGATGATCCAGCAGAATGCAAAAATTATCAGTATCATTAATATGACACACAAGTAAAATTTTGCTGAAGATAATTCAAAAAAGGTTACAGTAGTTGCATTGATAGGAATTGCCAGAAATTAAAGCTGGATTCAGAAGAGGGCATGGAACAAGGGATACTACTGCTGACATCAGATGGATCTGGACTGAAAGCAAAGAATACCAGAAAGATGTTTACTTGTGCTTTATTAACTACACAAAGGTTTTTGGCTATGTGGATCATAACAAATTATGGATAACACTACAAAGAATGGGAATTCCAGACACTTAATGTGCTTATGAGGAACCTGTATATAGACCAAGAGGTAGTCATTTGAACAGAACAAGAGGATACTGTGTGGCTTGAAATCAAGAAGGGTATGCCTCATCCTTATTCAGTCTGTATGCTGAGCAAATAATCCAAGAAGCTGGACTATATGAAGAAGAGCATGAGGGTTGGAGGAGACTCATTAACAACCTACGATATGCAGATGACACAATCTTACATGCTGAAAGTGAAAATGACTTTAAGCACTAACTGATGAAGATCAAAGACTGCAGTCTCAGTATAGATTACACATCAACATAAAGAGAACAAAAATCCTTACCACTGGACCAATAAGCAACATCATGATAATTGGAGAAAAGATTGAAGTTGTCAAAGATTTCATTTTACTTGGATTCACAATCAAAGCCCTTGGAAGCAACAGTCAAGAACTCCAACAACATATTGCATTGAGCAAATCTGTTGCTAAAGACCTCTTTAAAGTGTTTAAGAGTAAGAGCAAGGATGTCACTTTGAAGACAAAGGTGTGTCTAACCCAAGCTATCGTATTTTCAGTTGCTCCATATACATGTGAAAACTGGACAATGCACTTTTTATGGTCAGTAACTGCAACCCCCCTAAAATGGCTCTCAGATTCCATCTTGCTTAGCCACACTTGTAAGAACTACAAGCCATTTCCCCACTCCCTTCTTGTCACATATTCCCCTGCTCTCGCCTGTCAGATATTAGCCACCTTCCTTGCAACATATTAACCCATCCTTAGAATAGTTTTAAGCCATAAAGCTTGCTATGGCAGTGTCTTATTAGAGCACACACAGGTGGTGGTTGTAGGGCACTGCCGGGGGCCCCCTCCCAATCAGGACCCAGTGCCACCAAGTCTGAAGCCAGTCATGTAGCCCCCTATTCCCAGTCATGTAGCCCCCATCTGCAATTCCTCACACTCAGGTATAAGTATCCCTGCAAAGTGGGAGGGGCTTAGCGGTCATCTTGGATCCATTTCCAGCCCACTGCCACTCAATGCTGAATTGCTAGCAACATGTGTAAGCCTGCTTTCATTATCTTTTAAATCCTTTCTCTCCTGATTGTCTTTGTTTCTCTTCTGAATAAATATTCATATCTCTGCCTATGTCTCCAGGGAAGTTTTTTGGACTTTTGCTACATACTCAGGAGGAAGTTTCAACCTCCTTAGAAAATTCACAGAGCACATTTGAATTGTGGTGGTGGAGAAGTATACTGAAAATGCCATTGTTGTTGTTGTTGTTGTTGTTATGTGCCGTCGAGTCAGCCCCGACTCATAGCGACCCCTCCTTGGGTTTCCGAGGCAGTATCACTACGGAAGTAGGATTGCCCAACCTTCCTTCCGAGGAGTGGCTGGTGGGTTTGAACCGCCAGCCTTCTGGTTAACAGTCAAGTGCCTTAGGCACTATGCTACCAGAACTCCTTGAAAATGCCATAGAAGGAACAAATCTATCTTGGAGCAAGCGCAGCCAGAATGCTCCTCAGACGTGACAATGTCCAGACTTTATCTCTCATACGTTGGTCATATTGTCAGAAGGGACAACAGGATATCATGTTTGGTAAAGTAGAGAGTCAGTGAAAAAGGGGAAGATCCTCAGTGAGGTGGATCGACACAGTGGCCACAATGATAGGCTAAAGCATAGCAACAATTGTGAGGATGGCACATGATCAGGTAATGTTTCATTCTGCTGTATATAAAGTCCAAACCGACTGAATGGCACCTATTCTAAATAACAACAATTCTAAACTCAGCAATAATTCTAAATAAGCCTTGGTGGCACAACAATTAAGCATTCAGCCGCTAACTGATAGGTCAGTGGTTTGAATTTACCAGCCACTTCGTGGGGAAAAAGATGTAGTAATCTCCTTCCATAAAGATTATAGCCTTGGAAACCCTATGGGGCCGTTCTACTCTGTCCTATGGGGTTACTGAGTCAGAATCAATGTGAAGGCAATGGTTTGTTTCTTTTTTTAAAAAACACTACTATAGTGACTGGAATCTTAAAAGCTAGCAAGCTGCCATCTAGATGCAACGATGGGTCTCTCCTCATCCAGAGCAAAGAAGAATGAAGAAAACCAAAATTCATGGAAACAATTAGTCCTGGCAACTGGTACACCAGCTGGTCTGCAGCCTATACAACTATGAGACCAGAAGAACTAGATGGTGCCCAGCTACCGCTGTCATCCACTTGGAAGGGGATCTATGTAGGAGATCCTTGATAGAGAGGGAGAACAATGTGGAACAGAACTCAAAATCATTTTGTGGGGAAAAATATGGGGGTGGGGACCAGGTTTGCTGGTCCGATAGAGCCTGGTGGAACCACAGAGACTATGGCCCCTAGCTGGCCCCTAGCTGCCCTTAAGGTCTGGAATTGAACCCACACCTGTGGTTTCCAGCCAAACAAAATACAGGCGTATGAGTTAAACATTTCCCTTGAGTAGATACACTCCTTGGAGAGAACAATCGTGGGAGAAAGAAGAGCTTTAACTGTCAGGAGCTACTCAGTTGCTCATGGCAAATTCCAGCAAGGAGTTTACAAAGACCTATGGCTAGAAAAGCCACAGTATGTAATTTACGTACTGCAGTGCCTAACCAAAGTCATACTATTTTCAATTGCCTCACATGCATGTGGAAGCTGGACAATGAATAAGGAAGACCTAAAAAGAGCTGATGCCTTTGAATTATGGTGTTGGTGAAGAATACTGAAAATACCATGGGCTGCCATAAGAATGAACAAATCTGTGCTGCTAGAAGTGCAGCCAGACTGCTCCTTGGAAGCGAGAATGGCCAGACTTCATCCCACCTACTTTGGTCATGTAATCAGAAAGGACCATTCCCTGGAGAAGTATGTCATGCTTAGTAAAGCAGAGGCTCTGGGAAAAAGGGGAAGACCTCAACAAGGTGGACTGACACAGTGGTTGCAAGGATGGGCTCAGGTATCAGAAATTGTAAGGATGGTGCACAACTGGGCAGTGTTTAGTTTGTTGTACTTAGGGTCACTGTGAGTCAGACTCGATGGCACCTACCAACAACAACATATGTAAATTGATATTTCATGAAAGTTTTAATAACATCATAAATTCTCTTCTTCTCTTGCTCTTGCCCTGGAATTCTTACCTCCATTTCATGGGAAAGACAAATGACACCAGGATTATTCGGAAACAGGGTAGTTTTTCTGGAACTCCTGATACAGTTAGCAACTCAGTATTTACTCAGGGGGAAAAAAAGTCATGAAATTCCTTCCTCTCTCCACTACTTCTGTTTCCCTTTGTCTATATGTGGATTCCCTTTGATTCCAATAATTGTCTTTCTGTACCTCAATTTTTCTGTGTAAAATGAACATAATATAAGGTGGTATCTCTTAACCCCAGTAGCATAAACACACATGCATAAATACATGATTTCTCTCCTTTTGTGTGTTCATGAAGAAGTGTCACTGAAATGTCAAATACTAGAGTGACTGAATAGTTTTACTTTGTTTTCTCTCTACAGATTCTGGGTTGGTTTGTACAGATTTCTCTAGGACTGAAACATATTCATGACAGGAAGATCTTACACAGAGACATAAAAGCACAGGTAAGAACATCTCAGACAGAAGTCTAAGAAAAAACTGATCTTTTGTTTTGAAATATCTCAAACAACGTACCATTTTCTCTATTTATAGAACATTTTTCTTAGCAAGAATGGAATGATTGCAAAGCTTGGGGACTTTGGCATAGCAAGGATCCTGAACAAGTGAGTACTTTTAAAAATCATTTTTCTTCCTCTTCAAAGCAGCCAGCATATGCATATTTAGGTATCATGAATTAAGAAGATACTAAAAACTTGGTTGTCCAAATAGTCTTTGATAACTATTTATATTCTAGTTGCCTCTGAGGCAGTTTGACTCATGGCGACCCCATGTGTGTCAGAGTAGAACTGCATTCCACAGGATTTTCAGTGACTGAATTTTCAGAAGTAGATTGCCAGGCCTTTCTTTTGAGGTATCTCTGATTGAACTTGAACCTTCAACCCTTCAGGTAGTGGCCAAGTGCAGTAATTATTTGCCCCACCAGAGACTCCAACTATTTATTTAAGTGCACTGAATCATTCAGGTGGTATTTCGAGGTTAAAATTCTCAAGATAAATTGTGGCATAATGGAATGATGATGGTAATGTCATGTAGTGTGTAATATAAGTGTATCAAATATGGGATGTAACTAATATGTAGAAAACTGGTGAGAATTCAGTAAAACAGACAAGTTCAGACACCGTGGGGGGGGGGCAGAAATTGGTACAATTATTTTGGAAAACAATTTGGCGATAATAAATATCAAGAGATTGTTAAATGTTCTACTTCTGCTAATTTGTCCTTAGGGAATAATTTAAAATTTGGAATCATAAGAATATCTAAGAATTGGGCCATGGTTAAATATAAATCTTCACACAGCTATGTACCTGAGTATTATACAGTAACAAGCATTTATGATTCTGAAGATTTCTTTACAATGTAAGAAAATGCTTTATGATATGTTAAATAAAAAATTTTGGAATTCTGAATTTTAAAAGCAATATGATCTCAGCTGTGTGAAATATACACATGGAAAAATATACAGGAAGGAAATAAATCAGAATTTTATCAATAGTTCTTTTTAGGTGATAACATCAGTAATTTTTTTCTTTCTTGTTATTCACTTTTGTGTTTTCAAAATTTTAAATAATGAGATTACATTATTTAAATTGGACAATTGGAAAGGTAGAAATCTTTCAATTTCTGATAGTTTTTTTGTTAACATTACAGTTGTACCTCTTTGTGGAATCTTTAAGCCATAAAAAATATTTTTAATGTGTCAATCTTTGAGGGATGAATTATAAGCTTAAAAACATCAACTAATGTATTACTCTGTTATCAGTGAGTGTATAATATGTTTTTGCTTTACTCTGATCTGTGCATGTGTCACATTTTATGTTATCTATTTTTTACAGTTTTTCTTACATTTCTGTATTTTAGACATATTTATTACTCTAGTAATAAACCATGTTACTATTTAATGTATTTTACTAGTTCCATGGAACTGGCTCGAACTTGTGTTGGAACGCCTTATTACCTGTCCCCAGAGATCTGTCAGAATAAACCCTACAACAATAAAACGTGAGTTGCTGATTATTGGTTTGAGTGCCAGGAAAATCTGATGGATGATACTGAATTAAAGTGCTAGAAAGTAAAATTCTAATCCTTCCTCTCCTCCTTATGGTACTTTTGTAATTTCATTTTCTTCACATGTGTAATGGGAATTGTGGTGACGGTATCTGACCATTTTAGTGTGCCCTGAAACTGTTGACTTTAGAAAAAGCCCATTTCTCTTCATTTAAAGGTGCATATGATATAAACAGCATTGTTTTGTTTACCACTACTGCTTTTAAAATATTTGAATCAACACGTAAATTTTGGAAGATTTTAAAAAGCATACATATATGGTGCTTCTGAAAATTGGAAGATCTTGGCAATAATCAGCTGGGCCACTGCTCCCTTTGGATCAGGAAACCATTTTCTGGTTCACCTCACCACCTCATTGGGTGGTATAAACTAGTTGCTATGGAGCTGACTCTGACACAGTGACCTAATATGTGTCAGAGAAGAATTGTGCTCCATAGGGTTATTTATTTATTTATTTATTTATCAATTTTTATTGTGATTTGGATGAAAGTTTACAGAGCAAATCAGTTTTCCATTCAGCAATTCATGCACATTTTGTGTCATGCTGTTGATTGCAATCCCCAGAAGTAATAGCACTCATCCCACCTCTTCCCTGTGTTTTCTGTTTTAATTCATTCTTCTTTCCTGTCCCTTCCTGTCTGAACTTTGTCTCTGGGCAAATTCTGCCCTTGTCTTCTGGAATGGTTTATTGTTTTAAGGTGCATACATCCCTGGTGTTATGGTTCACCTTACATCGTCTGTCATTTGGCTGAAAGTTGAGACGTGGGAGTGAGTTCAGTTTCAGTCTGGAAGGGTGACTAAAGGCCATAGTCTTGGGGATTCTACCAGTCTCTGTCCAACCAGTGAGCCTTGTCTTTTTGTGATTTTGAGTTTTGTTCCACATTTTTCTCTCACTCTATCCAGGGCCTTATACTGTGATCCATTTCATACCATCTAGTTGTTGTTGTTGTTATGTGCCGTAGAGTCGGCCCCGACTCATAGCGACCCCTCCTTGGGTTTCCGAGGCAGTATCACTACGGAAGTAGGATTGCCCAACCTTCCTTCCGAGGAACCATCTA